CCCGGCATGACAGAGTGGGCCAATATTTGCACTGGAAAATCTGCAACGTCTACGGGAAGGAAACTGAAAGAAACTGGTATGAACACCACCCAGACCCGGCTACGGAGATAGGACCTGTTACAATTCTATGGGATTACACAATACACACTGACAGAACAATCAAAGCCAACCGCCCAGATATTGTTATTAAAGACCACAAACAAAAACGGTGCCTCCTTGTTGATATGGCAGTCCCTGCTGACTGCAATGTATCTTTGAAGATATTCAAAAAGCTGTCAAAATACAAGGACCTTCAAATAGAAATCTCGAAAATGTGGCATATGGGAACATCAACAATCCCTGTTGGAGTTGGAGCCCTAGGACTGGTTGGAAAAGATTGCAGTAGACTAATTGAAGGGATCCCTGGAAGTCCATACCTCAAGGAGATACAAAAAATTGTTCTGACAAGTACAGCCCACACTTTACGAAGGGCTTTATCTATGTAATTTCTTTTTTTTTTATCAGTGGAAAGTGTCATGCTGCCATTTCTAACCTTAGGTCCCTGGGCGAGACCCGGAACGAAATGTGTAAACGCCAGAAACCAAAGAAAATAAAAAAAATAATAAAAACCAACTTTCTACCCTTATTCTAAGTAGGCGTTGTTAAATTCCTCGCAAGGATTTAATGTTTACACCAGTCTGTAGATTTCTATTGGCACGCAATATTTGAGTACCAAGAATTGAACCCCGATTCATACATGTATCTAATTAAAGACATTACGCACAAACCCTAACACCCAATGCCATCATTCAACGAACATTCAATCGAAACATACACTACAATTCAAAAATTTGAGACCAACTTGACAGAAGAATTAAAAAATGAAAGAAAGCTCTTAGAGTCATTGAGGAAAATGAAGAAAAAGAATGGAATCAATTATCAAACTTATACTTTCAGAAACTTTTGCAACGAATACCAAAGATTTGTGCTGCAGTAATAAAGGTTAAAGGAGGATATTTTGACGAGAGAAAAATAATCCTTTTTTTTCTTTTCGTCATAATAAAATTTCTAATAAAATCGTGTCTCAGTTGTTTTAACCATATATAATATATTCTTTTTCATATTTAAAGTACAAAGCATCTACTTTTTGGGCAATTTAAAAATGCCAGGATTAGCCACAAAATTTTGAACTGTAGTGTACATATATATATATATATATATATATATATATATATATATATATATATATATATATATCATATCGTCGCTTGAACCGTCTTCCAATGGAGCGGCTTGGGGATAGTAGTCGTGGCTCATGGGGGCACAGTCCTATGGATATAAAAGAAACTCGGATGTGTTCCACCACGGAATATGTAATGGCGGGGAGCTATATCAAGTCTGATTCGCTACCTCTTCGACACCCAGGAACAGTTGGTATGGCGTTTGCCTGATAGCGTAACTGTCCGGGTTTCAATTCTAATTTCTATGATATATATATATATATATATATGTGTGTGTGTGTGTGTGTGTAAAAATATATAGAAAATAGGAAAGAACTCGTTAGGTAAATAATCCAAAGTTCTTTAGTATTTTTGTTATTATCTTTAAAAAATAGTGCCTGATACAAAAGTAGAGCCTAAATATAATTATTTATTGAAAAATATGATTCCATCGCTATATAAGAGTTCTCATGTTTCAAAACAAGAGCCGAAAACTTCAATATAATTAATTGAATCAAAGTACTAAGCTCTGTTCCATCTTCAAGCGAAATTTTTTTTGGATTCCCCCAAAAAAATTTCGCTTGAAGATGGAACAGAGCTTGGTACTTTAATTCAATTTAATTCAATTAATTATATTGAAGTTTTCGGCTCTTGTTTTGAAACATGAGAACTCTTATGTAGCGTTGGAATCATATTTTTAAATAAATAATTATATATATATATATGTGTGTGTGTGTTTGTGTGTGTGTGTGTGAGAGAGAGAGAGAGAGAGAAAGAGAAAGAAGGAGAGCGTCTACTCAAATATGAGTATCCACAAAAACAACCTGATAAAAACTGTCGGAATAATAAACAAAATATCATTTACATCTATCTATCAATCTCTCTCTCTCTCTCTCTCTCTCTCTCTATATATATATATATATATATATATATATATATATATATATATATATATATATATCGAGAACTGGTGCGTGCGAGCTGCTCTTGATGAAGGTGAAAGGAGTCTCTCCGAGCTTTGGTTAGCAATCCTTTTAGTGTTGGTTTCACGATAAAAAAAGACTTCAGATGGGAAGGAAAACTCATGACAGCTAAACCTGGTCATTATATTGCATGTGTCTGCCAAGAGGTGTGTACTGGCTGCTATTGATAGTGATCTGGAGAGGTTAAACTCCGAGATAAAAACACATGAGTACTATCGTTCGGAGTTTCCGTGGCAAGTCCTTTCCACCGTTACTTTCTTATCGACAGATTTTTGTTTTTATCGACACATCCAAAAAGTGTGGATGGTCCGACATAAG